GTATCAGTTGTAATCTTTCCTCTTTCATTTCTGATTGTGTTTATTTGTGTCTGTTCCCTTCTTTTCTTGATGAGCCTACTTAAAGGCTTGTCTATTTTGTTTATGTTTTCAAAGAGCCAACTCCTGGATTCATTGATCCTTAGAATTGTGCTTTTAGTCTCTATGTCATTTAGTTCTGCTCTGATCTTAGTTATTTCCTTCCTTCTACTTGCTTTGGGCTGTTTTTGTTGTTGTTCCTCGAGTTCTTGCAGGCGTAGAGTAAGGTTGTTTGTTTGAAATGTTTCTATCTTCTTTAGGTAGGCCTATATTGCTATAAACTTCCCTCTCAGGACTGCCTTGGCTGTGTCCCATAAGTTTTGGGTTGTTGTGAGATCATTTTCATTTGTTTCCAGAAACTTTTTGATTTCTTCCCTAATTTCATTCTTGACCCATTCATTGTTTAATAGCATACCATTCAGTCTCCACAATTTTGAGTGCTTTGGGTTTTTTCCTTTGGGGTTGGTTTCCAGTTTCAGTCCCTTGTGGTCAGAGAAAATGCTTGGTATGATTTCAATGTTCTTGAATTTGTTGAGGCTTGTTTTGTGTCCTATCATGTGGTCTATCTTGGAGAATGTTCCATGTGCATTTGAAAAGAATGTGTATTTAGCTTCTTTGGGGTGAAGAGCTCTGTATATATCAGTTAGGTCCATTTCATCAAGGGTGTTGTTTAATGCCACAATGTCTTTGTTGATATTTTGTTTGGAAGATCTGTCCATTTTTGATAGTGGGGTGTTAAAATCCCCCACTAAAATTGTGTTGCTGTCTATATCTTTCTTGAATTCCTCTAAGATTTTCTTTATATATTTTGGTGCTCCTAGATTGGGTGCATATATATTTATGATGTTATTGTCTTCTTGGTGGATTCTTCCCTTGAGTATTATGAAGTGACTTTCTTGGTCACTCTTTATGGCTCTTTTTTTGAAGTCTATTTTGTCTGATATGAGAATTGCTACCGCAGCATTTTTTTCTTGTCCATTTGCTTGGAAAATTTGTTTCCAGTCTTTCACTTTTAGTCTGTGATGGTCTTTTGTCCTGAGGTGGGTCTCTTGTAGGCAGCATATGTGTGGATCATGCTTTCTTATCCATGCAGCTATTCTGTGTCTTTTGATTGGAGCATTTAATCCATTTACATTTAAGGTTATTATTGATAGCTACTTATTCATTGCCATTTTTGTGCCTGTGTTCCTCTCTGTCTGTCTCTTTTCCTTCCTTTCCTTAAAGCAGACCTTTTAGTATTCTGTAGAGCTGGCTTGGTGGCAGCAAATTCTTTTAGACTTCTTTTTTCTTGGAAGCTCTTTATTTGGCCTTCTATCTTCATTGAGAGCCTTGCTGGATAAAGTAACCTTGTTTGCGGGCCTCTGGTTCTCATTACTTGGAACATTTCTTGTCATTCTCTTCTGGCTTGTAGTGTTTCCATTGAGAAGTCAGTGGCTAACCTTATTGGGACTCCCTTGTATGTTATTTCTTTTTTCTCCCTTGCTGCCTTTAAGATTCTTTCTTCGTCTTGGAATTTTGCCATTTTAATGATGATGTGTCTTGAAGTGGGCCTCCTTGGGTTCCTCTTGAGTGGGACTCTCTGTGATTCCTGGATTTGTGTGACTTTTTCTTTTATCAAATTAGGGAAATTTTCTCTCATTACTCTTTCAAATATGTTTTCTATCCCTTGTTCTTCTTCTTCTCCTTCTGGTATTCCTATTATTCGGATATTATTACGTTTCATATTGTCTTGCATTTCTCTTAATGCCTCTTCATTCTTTCTGAGCCTCTTTTCCCTTTCCTGTTCTTTCTGGGAGATGCTTTCTACTTTGTCCTCTAATTCACTAATCCTATCTTCTGTTTCATCTACCCTATTTTTAATGCTTTCCACTGTCTTTTTTAATTCAGAAATTGTATTCTTTATTTCCTCTTGGCCCTTGCTAATAATTTCCATTTCCTTTTTCATGTTGATATAGTTCGAAGTGAGATCATTGTAGCTCCCCTGTAGTTTCTGGTAGCTGATTGTGAGCTCTTTGAACTTCCTGATAACCAGTGCTTTGAATTCAGAATCTGATAATTGACTTGCCTCTATTTCATCTAACATTCTTTCTGAGGATGCCTCCTTTCCTTTCATTTGGGGATTGTTTCTTTGTCTTCCCATTGTTTGTGAGATTCTTCTTGTTAGCCTCAGCTTCTTAGATTAATCTGTTTTGACACCCTGGGTTTATGGTGTGAACTTTTGTGGTGGAATGCCTGTGAATTTCAGTGGTACAGTGTCTTTTGGTTATCCTGTTGTTCTCTGCTTCCACCTACTCAAATATGCAGCAACTTTTGGCTTCTCTCTTACAGCAATGTGCAATTTGTCTCTGACTCTACTATTTGGAGGCCTCTTCTATGTGTCTAGCTCTGGTCTTTTCATATTTTCAAGTTGATTGTGACTCTTTTGGGTAAAAGAAAGAAATGACAAGGAAAGAAATAAAAGGAAGAAAGAAAAAAATGGTAGGGGAATGGAAGAAAGAGCAATAAGTTTAGAAAGAAAAGAAAAAGAAATAAAACAGAAAATCCGGGAAAAGAGGACAAAAGTATGGAAAGATGAAACAGTAGTAAAATTTAAAAGAAATAACAGATTACTTTAAAAAAGCAAAAAGATAAAGAAAAGGAATGGAGAAGAAAGAAAAGTAAAAAAAAAAGAAAGAATAAAAATACAATAAAGTAAAGTAAAAAAAAAACCCAAGAAACAAAAAACAAAAAATGCACAAAGAAAAATAATCTCTCATAAACAACCTCAGAAAAGGAAATGTCACTTGTTGGCTTCAAACTAGCCAAACCGGTTTTTCTGGTTGCAGTTGGCTGAGGGTCGATTGTGGTGATTTTTTTCAGCCCGCCCCTCTCAGGATCCAGACACTTGGCGCCTCTCCCCCAGCTCCCTACAATGGGGAACTAGGACTTTCTTGCAGCGCTCCCCTCCCAGGGGTTAGTGCCATAGGCTGGTTTGCTGTGTTTGCAGGCACCTGCACTGGCCTAGTTGCCTGGTTCCCTCGGGATTGAGCACAGGCCTGTCCCCGTTCAGTTGGGAAGCCCCAGACCCTCTGCCCAATCCTGGGCTTGCTGCCAAGCTGGGTGTGAAGCAGACCAGGCTGCCGTGTCTACTGGATTCAGAGCCCCAGGCTGCACCTCTGAGTTCTCCTGGGCTGGCAACCACAGAGTCCTTGGTTGGGGCCCTTTGTCCTCCGCACCCTCTCAGCAAACTCTATCAAACAAGTCTCTCCTGGCACCCCACCTTGCTTGGCCAGAAAGGGAGGGGGTTGAGGGTCTCAGCTCTTTTCCCAGGACCCCTCAGCGCCCCGGGCTTCCAGATAGTTTGAGGGGGGTGGACTGGAAGCTGGGAGCCAATCTGAGGACGGGGTGCCGACCCAGAAACTCTGTGCGCACATCACAGCAAGCTGCATGGTGTGTATTCCTTCTGCTCCTGTGTTTGTCTGGGTCCCCTGGCCAACCTCTGCCAAAAAAAAAAAAAAAAACCTAGGGATGGAACAGCACCACGCTGGGCGCTCAACCCAGAGCTGTGTGCAGGCTGAAATCTCCTCTGCTCCCCTCTGGTTGGGTCTCTTGGCAGGTCCGGGCCCAAAAATCCTAGGGAGGGAGCTTTCTGAGCGCTGAATGCCGGCCTAGGAGCTCCCAGGCACTTGCCTAGACACACTGCGCTTGGAGCAACTAGTTCCCCAACTTGCGCGCAGGCTGAAGTTTCTTCCACACCTCTGCCTGGGCCACTCGGCCTGCCTGGCAGAAAAATCCCAGGGAGGGAGCCGTCTGGGCGCTGAACGCTGTCCCAGGCTCCATTAGGCACTCTCCCGGACACAGTTCCCACCAGCCGCTGGACCTCCGAACTATGCACAGACTGAAATCACTTCTGCTCCCCTCTGTTTGGGCCACTTGGCAGGTCCCTGGCCCAAAAATCCTAGGGAGGGAGCTTTCTGGGTGCTGAACGCCGGCCTAGGAGCTCCCAGGCACTCTCCCAGATACACTGTGTGTGGAGCAACCAGTTCCCCAAATTGCGCGCAGGCTGAAATTTCTTCCACACCTCTTTGCCTGGGCCACTTGGCCTGCCTGGTGAAAAAATCCCAGGGAGGGAGCCGACTGTGCGCTGCACGCAGTCCAAAGTGCCCTTGGGCTCTCGCCACTGGGCGCTGGTTCCCCTACCCTGCACCGGCTGTTTCCCTCTGCTCCGTCCCAGAGACTACTGTACCGCTGCTGTCTCCCTACGGTATGGTTCCTCCATGACCGATGAGGTTTCTGGTCTCTTATTTTCATATATGCTTGGCAACTGCTGACTTGCTGGTCTCACCTCCTCCAATCGGACAGGTCTCCCTCTCTTTTGTACTAGGAACTGGTATCTGCTCTGTCCTAGTCCACCGCCATCTTGAACACCCCCTATTCAACATATTTTATAAATGTAAAAACAACCTTCTGACTTTGATGCTGGGAGTAGTATCTTTTCTATTTAAACCATACTCTTTTTTTGCCCCCTGTTCCATGTAATTTCCCTGTTGTGTGTCTAAAAATGCTAGATTTTAGACTAAGAATATATTATTATTCAGTTTAGGGGAAACTAAGAAAAAGGGATAAACTACAAAGCAGCAGAGTTATAAATTAGCAGTTGAGTTACTTATTAGATTAAGAAAATTATAAATTTCAAAACTCGATTGTAAAAGTTTGAGGAAAGTATTTGTGCTATTTACATTTTTTATTAATAAGTGCTCTATATACTCTATAATGTATATAGATTTAAGGTGACAGAAAACATGGAAAAGTTATAGTGTCAAAGATTTTACAGGTTAAAAGGTAGCCTTAGCTTAAATGGGGGATTTCATCTCTTTAGTTAGAGAAATCTTCATGTTACCATAGATCATATCCATTCATTCATCATTCACTCTGATTGTCTTTTGTTCCTACCTAACAAAGCATGTTGTGTGTTTGTTTTGCAGATCTAAAGCGGGAAGCCAGTATCTGTCATATGCTGAAACATCCCCACATTGTAGAGTTATTGGAAACATATAGCTCAGATGGAATGCTTTACATGGTTTTTGAATTGTGAGTGTACATTTTATTTTCTTAAGGGTTAAAATTATAAGCAACATTGGTTTTGAATAACACTAATGCTTTCTTTTAAATTTTAACAATAGTTGTGAACTAATCTAGGACAAGAACCTAAAATAATAAGAATAAAAGGGTTGTCTCATCTTTAAAGTTCACAGTGGCTGAGGAAGCAAAAGTTACTCATATTTAGTTACCCTCACTTTTTTTTAGCATACTTCAGAGAAGAAGCTGTAAAAAGAAAGAGCTCCAAGAGATAGGAGGCCTCAAAATTGAAAATTCTGATCATAGAAGTCTATATGAAGAGGGGTGGGATGGCAGTAGAGGCCACCATGTAGCAAGCCTCTCTAGCAACTAAAAACAAGTAATAATAGACTTAAATTCCTCTTTTGATATAATCACCATATTGGCTTATAAAGGAAATTCAATAGATAATAGTGTATCTTGATTTCAATATGCTACTTGACGTATTTCCCACAGAGTTATTGTCAGTACAATGGAGAAATGTGAGCTAAGGATAGGACAACTGGGTAATTTTATAGCTGGTTAGATGATTGTGTCCAGAGATTGTATCCTTTATGGGATGCCAACCTATTCTGTTCAAATTTTAATCAGTGGCTTTGATTAGGGTTTCTCACAAGGTAATCAAGTATTCGTCCAGGGCTGAAGTCATTTTAAGGCTCCACTGGGGATGTATCTGCTTCTAAACTCACTCACGTTGTTGTTGGCAGCAGGCTATTGGGCTGAAGACCTTAGTTCCTCATGAGCTATTAGCCTGAGGCTACTGTAGGTTCCTTGTACCTAGGTCCCTCCTTGGAGTAGCTCACAACATGGCAGCTGGCTTCATCAGTGTGAACAATTAAAGAGGGCAAGAGTAGAACAAGAGTGAAGGCAATCTTGTAACCTAATCTCAGCACTTCTACCATATTCTATTAGTTAGAAATAAGTCATTAAATCCAGACCACACAAAAGAGGAAGGAATTACACAAGGGTGTGAATACCAGGAGGTGGTGATTACTGGGAACTGTGTCAAAAGCTACTCCCACAGAAGGGTAACTAATGCACAGAATATCCAGATGAAAATTTTTAAATATTTTACAAGCTTGCAGCAAAGGAGCTGAAATTAAGATGAAGTTTAAGACCAATTGATATGAATTTACTCATTCAAATATGTAAGTGCAAGTACACTGTGAATTTACTTGCAGCTTCTTGGGTGAAAAAGATGTAAATGTTGTGGTTAGTTGTTGCAACAGAGCTTTAAAAGCCCTAAATGGAAGGAACCTTTGGCTACACTAATTATAAGTACATAGTATTCAGAACCAAGCCACACTCCCACTGTATTGTGTACTACTCTTCCTCCTGGCATGTTCATAGTAAGCAGGACACTGTCATGCATCCAGAAAGGTATAACCAAAGTGGGAAAGAGCCTAGAAATTCTGTCATAGGGTCATAGCCTTCAAAATCTTTGCTGGCAAACTTACTAAAAAAATTTTGAAACAATGTACCTTCTCACATATTTTTAAGTTGACATGTAAAAACTTTTATTGTGCCCTGGTTGGTGTAGCTCAGTGGATTGAGTGTGGGCCTGCGAAGCAGACGATTCGCGGTTCGATTCCTAGTCAGGGCACAACATGCCTGGGTTGCAGGCCAGGTCCCTAATGGGGGACACATGAGAGGCAACCATACAACGATATTTCTCTCCCTCTCTCCTTCCCTTCCCCTCTAAAAATAAATGAATAAAATCTTTTTTAAAAACCCTTTTATTGTGAGCTTGTAATTTTCAGTATCTCATATTTTTTAATATATTTTCTTCAAAACTGTAGAGATGCATCTTTATCTCATTCATTTTATGTCTACTCTGTTACCTGAATGGCAAAACTAGTCATCATTGTCAAACCAGTGAGCCAAATAAGACTCACTTTCGGTCAGAAAAAAAAAATTTGACTTTAATTTTCAAATAAAATTAAAGTGTTAATAGACATCCCTGTGACACTCATGTTACTATTCATTTCTTTCTTACTGTATTTTTTCCATTACCATTTAACCCTTTATTACCCACTTCCCCCCCTGCAATCACCATACTGTTGCCTATGTCCATGAATGCTTTTCCCTGTTTGCTCTATTCCTCCTTCTAATTCTAAAATAGATCAGGCTTTGCCATGAATGTATTGTCTGGATGAAGTACGATGGTTCTTCCTTTCTTTCCCAAGTGTTCTGTTTTATTGTTAAGGTTCTCTTCTTCCCTTGAGAGATTTACATTCTCCAGTTGTCCCTTTGAAGCTAGGAACTTCTCAGGATAGGCGAGTGGTTTGTCATTTGCAATGCTTTCCTGCGAATGGAGATGTAAAAAGGAAAATCAGCAAATCACAGACTTGTTTTCAGATAGATCAGATTGTGGCAAATAAAAATATGGAAATTGATTGCCTTAAAATTATCATAATCCCTTGGAAGGACCTTGGGTACACCCAGAGATACTGTAGTCCCAGTTTGAAGAGCAGTGGCATGGAAGAGCTATTGAAAATGTTGGGAGGCTTTAGTTATCCAAAAATCTATTGGTTTTTTTTTTCTGCTAAGAGAGTCCTTACAGCAGAAGCCCATGGTAGAACAAAATGGATGTCTTCAGTTATTTAAAAGATTGTCATCTGTAAGAAGATTATATGTTTGTTCAGTGTAGGATCAGGGTTTGTAACTACAATCAACAAATGGCAGGTAGATTTTACCTCTAAGCGAAGAAGGCCTCTAATGGTTAGACTAACTGCATATATGAAATGGGCTGTCTCACAGAGGACAAAATTCTCATTAGATATACTCAAGCTGAAGCTGGTTTGACCTAGAGAGGGTCTCTAACATCCCTTCCAATTTTAAGATACTATAATTTTAATTACTTTTTCTGATTAAGTATTATTCTTTATTCAAGAAATATGTTTTGGTCCAAATTTTTATTCACTGAGAAAACTAAAAAAAAAATTTATCACATACTATAAAGTAGTGAACATAGAAAACAAAATTTTAAATTTTGCTTAAATTGTACCCTGTTTCTGTGTTTCAAAAGGATCTAAGTACAGTAGAGAGAAAATGGTTTTTGATTTCATAAAGCTTGGTTTAGTATCCCAGTCATGTCACTTGTACTAATTATGACTTTGGCCAAGTCTTTTTAGCTTCCCTGAGCCTCAGTGTTCTTTTTTAAAATGATATTTTATTGATTATGCTATCACAGTTGTTCTGATTTTCCCCCTTTACCCCCTCTACCCAGTACCCCCACCATTCCCTCAGGCAATCCTCCCCTCATTATTCAGGTCCATGGGTCATGCATATAAGTCCTGTGGCTGCTCCATTTTCTATACTGCACTTTACATCCCCATGGCTATTCTATAACAACCTATTTGTACTTCTTAATCCCCTCACCTCTTCACCCATTCCCACGCACCCTCCTCCCATCTAGTAACCATCAAAACACTCTCAGTATCCACGACTCTCTCTCTGTTCTTGTTTCCTTAGTTTGTTTTTAGATTCAATTGTTGATAGATATATATTTTTGCCATTTTATTGTTCATAGTTTTGATCTTTTTCTTAAATGAGTCTCTTTAACATTTAATATATAATGGTTTGGTGATAATGAACTCTTAGTTTTGTTTTGTTTTTTTCTTCTCTGGGAAGCTCTTTATCTGCCCTTTGGTTCTAAATGATAGCTTTGTTGAACAGAGCAATCTTGGCTGTAGCTGGCTTTTCATGACTTTAAATATTTCTTGCCAATCCCTGTAGCTTGCAAAGTTTCTTTTGAGAATTCAGCTGACAGACTTATGGGAACTATCTTGTAGGTAACTGTCTCAATTTCTCTTGCTGCTTTTAAGATTCTCTCATCTTTAACCTTTGGCATTTTAATTATGATGTGTCTTGGAGTGGGCTTCTTTGCATCCATCTTGTTCAGGACTCTGTGCTTCCTGGACTTGCATATCTATTTCCTTAACCAAATTAGGAAAGTTTTCGTTCATTATTTTTTTAATTTATTTAATTATTGTTCAAGTACAGTTTTCTGTTTTTTACTCCCATCCCAGCCCACCACCCCCCCCCAGTGCTCCCTACCTCCCTCCCATTTCCACCTCATTCATTATTTTTTCAAATTCCAAATTCCAGATTCTTCTGTTCTCCTTCTGGCATCCCTTCGTTCAAATGTTAGAATGCTTTCATTTGTCCCACAGGGTGCTTACACTATCTTCATTTTTTTAATTCTTTTTTTCTTCCTGTTCTGATTGGTTGTTTTTTGCTTCCTTCCAAATCATTGCTTTGTGTCGTGGCTTCATCTACTCTACTATCGTTTCCCTGTAAATTGTTCTTTTTTTTTTTTTCAATTAGTGTATCCTTCATTTCTGACTGGGTCTGTTTTATGCTGTTGAGGTCCTCACTAAGTTCCTCAAGCATCCTTATAACCAATGCTTTGAACTCTGTATCTGATAGATTGCTTATCTCCATTTTGTTTAGTTGTTTTTCTGGAGTTTTGATCTGTTCTTTCACTTGAGCCATGTTTCTTTGTTTCCTTGTTTTGGCAGCCTCCTTGTGTTCATTTCTGTGTATTAGGTAGAGCTTTTTTGACTCCGTGTTGCTAGTGTAGCCTAATGTAGTAGGTGTTCTGTAGGGTCCAGGGAGCACAGCCTCCCCTATTGCTCAAGCTGGGTGCTTGAGGTGTGCCCGTGTGGGCTAAGTACACCTTCCTCTTGTAGTTGAGCCTTGGTTGCTGTTGGTAGATCAGTGGAAGAGATTTACCCAGGCCAGGCAAAGATTGGCTGTGACTCCTTACCACCAACCTCCCCCATGCATGGAGAATCAGCTGTGCAGGGATAGAGTGGCGGTGCTCCAACGTAGTCTGTAGCTGTCCACTGGGTGCACTGGCCCTAGTGTATCCTGGGCAATGCAAGCCAGTGTCAGCCCCAAACTGTGTTTTGCCCAGGGCCACCATACCTGAGTCATAAAGCAATCTGAGATGGCTGCTACTTGTGCTG